AATCAGAGCATGTAGAATGGGAGGATCTGATCAAGTTAAAGACTGGTGGCGTTTCCACTTCCGCCTTCCACTCATCTTCGCCGACCGAGCTCGGCAAATTCAATGAAGGCTTGCAGTTCTCTGGGTTTGCCTTGGATAAGAACATCCCAGACATGCTACAGATCCTCACCACCCTTATTACTGAAACCGATTTCACTAGCCCATACGCTCCTGGCATGATTCAGGAGCTCCTTCGATTGACCACGAACGGAGCGTTGGATGCAGTTGCGGGAACTGGCCATCGTTTTGCTCTCAATGCGGCCGCAGCGAGCCTTTCTCGTAGCTTCTGGGTTCAGGAGCAACAATCCGGTCTTGCCCAACTACAGGCTACCGCGGATCTTTTGCGTGATGCAGAGACCTCGCCCGAGCGCCTGGCTGAGCTGATTGAGAAATTGCGCTTGATTCAATCCTTTGCAATTTCCAAATCCCAGAAGCTACGCGTTCGCCTGGTTTGTGAACCTACGAGTGCTCATCAAAACGAAAGTGTTCTTCAAAAATGGCTTGCCGGTCTCCCTCAGGTCCAGTCTCCCACTGTCGTGCCCGATACGATTCTGAAGTCGGCCGTGGATAAGGCATTCTACGACCTGCCATATAAGGTCTACTACTCAGGACTGGCTATGCAGACAGTGCCATTTGTGCACTCGTCCAGTGCACCTCTCAGTGTCCTCTCTCAGCTCCTTACGCACAATTACCTCCATCCTGAAATCCGAGAGAAGGGAGGCGCCTACGGCGCTGCGGCTACCAACGGTCCAATCAAAGGCATCTTTGCCTTGACGAGTTATCGTGACCCGAACCCTCTCAACACGCTGAAGGTCTTCCAGAACAGCGGAATCTTCGCCAGAGACCGTCAGTGGTCTGATAGGGAGCTTAACGAGGCGAAACTGGGCATCTTCCAGGGCCTCGATGCTCCCATGAGCGTCGACGAGGAAGGCGCTAGATACTTCATGAGCGGCGTCACCCATGAGATGGACCAGCGCTGGAGAGAACAAGTCCTTGATGTGACTGCAAAGGATGTCAACGAGGCCGCACAGGCTTTCCTGGTCGATGGCCCTCGGCAGTCCATCTGTCTGCTCGGCGAAAAGAAGGACTGGGCGGAGTCCGAGGGCTGGGAGATGCGAAAGCTGACCATGAACACAGCTGGAGATGCTGACGCACAACCCATGGGCGCTGATGCTTCTGTCTAAGAGCCTCGGCGGTCTCTCACATTCCTCCTCCACTCCGACTCATGCTCATACCATTTCCAACAGAGGAAATGACCCCGCCCCATGAAAAGACCAAGATTTATAGAGTTTTGGCATACCCGTGATGTATCATATATCCCTGTATTTCTACTGATGCCTGTGAGTTGCACCATGTGTACATATAGAACGTTTGTACAATATCCATCCTCCCTCTCCACATTTTCTTTGCCATCCTAGGTCTTATGGGGTTTTCACAATCCACGCGCATTTCCAGAGCAGAAACTCACCCCATCGCCAGCCTTTACTCCATGGCTGGCGCATGGCGGTCCTCCTCTTCAGTATGAAGAGGAGAAACGCGCAAGATGTACAAGAAATGTGAACCCGTTTGCGGTACACTTTCTGTCTCCGTTTTTCAGACCCGCACTGATCTATCAGCCTACGCAGAGCGGACTAAAAACGAGAGAACATGCAGGCCACGGCCTCAACTACTACAAGACATCATAGATGAGACCAGAGGTCTAACATAATTCATTCCTTCCTAAACATATCGGGTATAAAGTCACGTCATGAGTCGTATAATACAGTATAAGTTTGTGGACATGGAAGTGAAAATGCAAGTCGCTGCATGACGCTAGGTATGGATATACCTCAGTTTGGCCGGCAAACTTGATCGTGGCAGAGCAGTGTTTGTCTTGGTTCTTACCCATGACTATTCGTCCTTTGCGGGAGCCGAGGGATCGGACTGATGCCCAGATGTCCAGGTGCCGCCCTGATTTTCGTATTCAACGACCGGAGGTGGAGTTGATGGAAATGGGGGGAATGGTTCCGTTTGTGAGTGATCGTCTGAAGATCGAGGGTTCGAATTATTAGTAGGTTCCAGGGAAACATCGCTTTCCCCGATTGGTTCTTTCGGCGTGCCAGCAGCAGACTCATGATCTACAATTTCTGACGAGACAGTGGGCGAGCGAGAGGGCAGGGAGAATGGTGTGGGCTACGGTAGGAAAGGTTAGCTTATGCAGACTCTTCTCGAGGGGGGAGGTTGGTGATCGTACGGGGTCATTGCTCTGATTGAAACCCCGGCTCGAAGCCAATTGTCGGGCGGCAAGTCGTTTCCGTATGATTTCGGATTCTTCCTCATGCTCTACCCGCGCCTCTTCTTTCTGTAGATCCATCATGGATGGTGTGGATATGTCCTCGGTGACCTCTACTTTCGAGTTCCGCGGAGACCGCATCCGACTCTGCTTCTTTTTCTTCTTCTTACCCGAGTCCTTTGATGCCAGGCTGAACGTACCGGACGTAGACCTCATGCTGGCGGGCTTATCACCGAGTGGGGCCTCCGACTCTAACAGGCCTGTGTCACGTCGACTGCCCAAAGCCATGGCGAACTCATCATCTAAGGGCACGGCGTCTTCCTCTTCGTCACTGGGGATCAGGTCACCCCGCGAACTCAATGAATTCGCCGTCTCTCTGGACGACTGTGTCGAAGAGCGGTAGCGCCCATTCCCGTTTGAGCTGGGCCCCTCAATCTCCTCGGGTTCCTCCATAAGAGGCTCGTTCTCATACGAGTGTCTCTGTATCCCCGCAGGGTGTTCCTGGAGGTCAGCCGCAGACGGGCGGTATTTGATGCCCCTCGCGCCGAATCTCCACGGAAACCGCTCCAGGAAGCCCAGGAAGGAAGAACTAGGGATAATGGTGGGGTCGTTGCGATCGTCCGGGGCCAGGACGCTGCTTTTCCGCCTCGTGCGTCGAGTGCCGTAGCTCATCTTCCGCTGGCGGCGCGGCTGCTCGGCGCTCCCACGCGCCAAACCGCTGCCCGCTAGTAAACGGTCGAGTTCCCCCGTTCCCCAGCCGAGTATACCGCTGTCGGAATCATCATTGTCCCAATCATCGTAGAAATCAAAGACGGCTTCGGCGCGCCCCCTTCGACGACGGCGGTAGTGGTCCTCACGGGTTGGAAGGCAGGGCGACGTGCAAGCGTAGAGGCAGTTTCCAATGGAGGAGAAACAGGGGACGACGTAGTTCTGGGAGAACGTGTAGAGGCCTTCTTGGGCGGTCTCGTTGGCCGACTCGAGGTTATGAGAGATCTGGTTGATCCGCTGGCGAACCCGAGGGTCTCTAGGGCGCATCATGGTGAAGTGGAGCGATGACCGCGGAGAACGGGTCGGTGCAGGTGAGGCCACGCAGTAGGAAGAAAGGGCGAGTAGGAGAGATTCGAGCGTCGCTCAGGAGGTCCCCTCGACCTCCCGTGTGGATCGGAGGGAGGAATGGACGGGGAGATGGGAAGTCGAATGCGATGATATCATCAGGGCGCATGTGTTGGAGCAGCGAAGACGAGATAAACTCCGAAGCAGTCGTCCGTCGCTTTAGCGGCAGTCCCCGTTGGGTTAGTTAGTCCATCACCCCCCAGGTTCTTAGTCAGCGTCCCACGTGCCTCGCATTATTATTTCCTTTGCTCAATCGAGCCAGCTTCTACAGAGTACACTTCTACATTCACCGTGCTCTCTCAATTGAATAGGCCGTTCCTGTCAGTGGGTAGATCGGCGTATCTCACAATGGTCTACTACATTCGTTTCCTCAAAACCCCTCGTTTGCAAAAGCAAAAGTCCGGCGGATTAGCTGTGGCCACCCTTTTATGCATCACCACGGATTTGGGCGACGCTTTCCTGGCTGAAGATGTGGATCTACTCATCACATTGTCCCTCCATGATACAGGGAACGTGCTATATCAAGAACCTGTGAAGTGGACAGCAGGTAAACGTGAAATCGCCGTCACTCTGGGACCATTTCCTCCCCAGCTGTCCCAGAGGCCAATTGTGTTGAGCGTCGCTGCTGGTAACCCTCGGAAACCCAGTGCACCGTCTTCCGATTGTCTACTAGGGAAGGCTGGAGTGCCTCTAGTGGTGTCCGGCTGGAGTGCTCCGTTTGGCGGATCAGAGTCTCTCGTGGCTGAGAAGCTTGTCGAGAGACGCTTCACACTAAATGATAAACTTGACTTGAAGATATGGGAAGAGACTGGCAACAGCATTGCCCGGCATATCTGGTAAGCTGTTTCTCTTCAACCGGCTGTCAATATTCTAAGAGAGGATATTATACAGGGATGCTGCCCTGGCATCAGTGATCTATCTCCAACATGTAGTGTCCGGGGACCCCACGGCCACTACCCCATTACTGCAAGACCTACTACAGACGGACCGAGGCACACCTCTTCGAGTCATCGAGCTAGGGTCGGGGTGTGGCATAGTTGGCATCGCCCTGGCGCAATTACTTCCCCGGATCTCCGTTCTATTGACCGACCTCCCCGAGGTCGAAGAAATCGTAACGCAAAATATCTCCGTTTCCACGCCGGCGCCCTCGTCAACAGTGGACTTCCAGACACTCGACTGGGACGAGCCGCTCCCAGAAGACCTATGCAATGGCTCGGTTGACTTGATCCTTGTATCGGACTGTACCTACAACGCAGACAGCCTGCCTGCGCTCGTCTCCGTACTGACACAGCTAGTCCAGACGTCGCCGGATGCCATCGTGTTGGTAGCCCTGAAGAGGCGGCATGAAAGTGAATCTGTATTTTTCGACTTAATGCAGACTGCAGGCCTGGCCGACTTGCATACCGACCATATGCAGCTCCCATCGCAACATGATCAGGTAGATCAGATCGAATTGCATTGCTACGGTCGAGCAGAGAGACACTCTACCAAGCCCGATCAGCCTATTGCAGAATGCTGATATCGGTATCAGTCCTGAGGTAGTGATGCCTGTAATCATACTTGCCAATATCGACATTGCTCATACCATATCGGCCGTACGCTTCGTCTATATAAAACCTCAATTCGAACGCACGGCGCATTACAGCACAATGTCGGGTAGCACACCAGAGGCTTCAGACACTGCTGACAGATGTCCTCCTTCGGGGAAAATAATGTGCCCGGAGTACCTTGGCTGACAAGGCCGATCATACAGCCTCCATACATAATACCTACGTTGTTTCTACAAGCTGTCCGGTCTCTGATGTCAGCGGAAAAGCTCCCAAGCCTTTGCATTACTGTACATTATTACGGATATCATCATACACAAAAACATCGATACCACGAAAAGCTCGAAACTTCCGTTCGCCCAGCGAAAGGCAACACATCTCCATGCCCGCAACGCCTCGCGCAGAAAAGCACTTTTGGAACGACTTGAAAACTCCACCGAATGCAACTCTCAATGGCATTTGCTTGCCTGACCCTTGTCCCAGGAGTCCAACATCTTATCGCGAAGCCGGGAGTTGAATCGGGCCCAGAATGGAGTGGAATCGTATTGAAGCCGGGGTATCAAGCGGTATAACGACTGATCGCAATCGGAGGAAGCCAGCGAGTCAGGGGTTGGATGGGTCCCATATTGTTCCTCGCGTTCCTCATAATAGGATTCGAAGACCCTTTCTGTGGATGGTGCGCTTGACCAGGACATTTTTGCCGCTTTTCATGATTAGGACACGAAGCCAAAAGGGACTCAGCAGGCGTGAGATTGTTTCCATGGGCACCTCGAAGTTAATATATCTGGGGGGCTACAGCGGAATTCATGATATCATGCGGTCTCGTGATGTGACATACAAAGCAGACCCTTTGGATCGCCCATGTCTAGGAAGGCAAATTGCAAGCAACCTTACATTTGGCTGTCGCTCTTCGATCCTTGGGATTTTCGGAATAAGCTTTTCAGTTTTTCGCTTGTTGAAGATTTGCCTCCTCGCTCCCTGCGAGTATAGTGATGCCGACCGTGATCCGTCCCCTTTGCATTTGACCATCCCACTCGAAGCTGATGCGCGACGTTTATTCTATTATGGTATGACCTTAATCTGGAGGATATGGCGCTGTTCCGAAACATCCGCATTGATATCCCTGTCCCCAGATTTCGTAGCCGACATCCGCGGTCAAACTTGGAGAATATCTGCTCCAGGGTCGAGTCGAGAGGGATAAAGTCTGTATTGTGATCCAGTGCAGAGCTCCCAAGAGCTTCACGAACTGCACCTGGTAGCACGATCTTGGTGTTGTACCCTTGGAAGATCTGTCTGCTTGCGTTAAGACTATGCGATCGTGGAGGCGGCATGACGCGTAGCCCATTGCCTGGGTGCCTCGATTCAGGTATCTGAAGACTACGGGTAGCTGTGTGGCATCTTCGGACGAATGGACCAAAATTGGCTGCTAGGGTTACAGCACAGATGGGTAGAAATCCAAGACGAGGGCTTTCTGTCGGCTCCCAGTCAGACGTAGGAGGAATCTTGTAACAGAGGGCCCAGAGGTCTGCGTACAATCGGCACACGATATATAGATCCCCGCTAGCCAGCTGAAACTCGTCTGGTTGTTGGTCGTGCTCACATGCAGTGAATGACGGATCGAGACTGATGACAAGTGATCCTTCCTGCACGGCCCATCGTTCTTCTGCGCTTGAACGTACATCGCGATAGGACTGAAGGCGAGTACATAGTGCCGGTTTCACTTGGCGAAACAGACGCGGGAAGAGGTCGCTGGGATGCCTGTGGATACTTGGCCAGTCACCCATATCAGATGAGGATGTACTATACCATCGCGAGTCACATCCCTCCCAGTCGTCCTGTATAGAGATTGTCAGTATGGAGGATAAGAGTAGAAGAAAAAGAAGAGAACTTACAAGTAGAGGGATTCTCTGATGCGCATCGGAAACATCTGTCTCTAAGCAAGGTTGAGTCGTCTCTGTGGCCTCTGTCGGACGAAACCATGGATCGCAGCTTAGAGCCCAAGACGAGAGACAGTTTTGTCCCTGAAGATTGAGACTGTCAATATACCCGCTCCCCGGAATGCTACATATGCATTCGTTGATGGGTAGGCAGCATGTTCTACACCTGTCCACAGCACTGCATGAACTGGTTGTTGACAGCTCAGAGGACCACAGAGGAGGACGATGAAAGTACACCGCGTGCCGACGCCTTTTATTCACCGAGTCCAATGCATCGGTAGAATCCAGAGGAAACACTCTTGAGCTGAAAGGTGTCGGTAGATGCTCGGAAAAGAGGTCTATCTCATTGGACGTGCGTCTGTGGTCAAGATCTGTATAGAGGCTAATCATGCTGGAAGATGACGCAGTGTACAATATACTGTCTGTAGTGGCTGTCAAGGTATGCTCGTGATACGAGAATTGGAGAATGGGTACCTAGTATCAACCAGATTCACATCACCATCGTAGCGTTCCTTTCGGTCTATCTGAGCCGCGCCTTCTTCCCAGACGTCCATTGTCCTGATGGAAGGCGCAAAAAGTGTTAATTGTATGGAAGGAGCTTCCTGGGTCTATGCCATTGAGCTGGGCTGTTGTATTTGGACTGCAGATATACTTCAAGTGATGAGCCTCGGTTATCGGGCGGATGGCTGACTCAAGGCATGCGGGGATTTCTTCCAGCCTCATCCACCATACTATCTAGACAATCGAAAGATCCATTTCTGCTTTCCTTATACTTAATCAAAACACATAGACAGCCTGAGTACAGAGATGGCCGCTCCACGCATCACCCTCTATCTGGATATCGTCAGCCCCTTTGGCTACATTGCTTTCCATGTCCTGAGAGTAAGTGTCCTTGGTAGTATTTCGATTGTCTCAACTAACAGATATGAAGAACTCCCCGGTCTTTGCCAATTGCAATGTCAACTACGTCCCTATCTTCCTGGGGGGTCTCATGAACACCTGTGGAAACACACCACCCATTAAGATCAAAAGTAAGCAGCGTTATAACTATACATGCATGGGCAACCGCTCGGTCTGACACAAACCCCAGACAAGGAAGTTTGGATTGATAAAGAGCGACTCCGCTGGGCCCGATACTTCTCTGTCCCCATGATCGACAAATTCACCGAGGGGTTCCCCCCTCTCACCCTGGGAACGCAACGCGCCCTTTGTGCCATTTCGCAGAAGCTGCCGAACAAGCTGGTTCCCACAATCGAGGCGCTCTACCATTCGTTCTGGGTACAGGGGAACGCGAAAATCGGCCAGCCAGAAGGCTTCGGACCGGTCCTCGAGAGTGTCCTCGGACCGAGTGACGCGCAGGAAATCCTCAAAGCCGTATGTTCTTTGGAGCGCAAGAACGTAGTGCATGGGTATCACATGGGACGCTAACGACAACAGATAAACCAAGCCGATACCAAGGCGATCCTGAGTGCCAACACCGATCGGGCATTCAAGGCCGGCGCATTTGGCATCCCCTGGTTCGAGTGCACCAACTCGAAGGGTGAGACCGAGGGGTTCTGGGGGATTGACCACCTGGGTCAGGTTGTTGACTTTCTGGGACTGGACCGTCGTTTGGACAGTGGGTTCCGCGCGGTGCTCTGAATGGAGACATATAGTACATCGCATTATATACCACCAAACGAGACATGAAATGCGGTTCGAACGAATTATGCTCGGTTCAATCGCGAGTGCGCGTCGCTCCGGTGCTTATGCCTCAGGAACTCCGCCACCTGTTCCTTCTCCATGGAATTAATGCGTCGCATTTCCTCCTTATCAGGTTTATCTGGGAATCACCTTAGCGAAGTAGACGTAGAAGAATGCGCATGCGAACAAACCTTGACAGTGCCGATCGTCTTTTGTCCCGGTAACCATCGACCGCAGCTGGGACAAAGCGCTTTGGACAGAATCACTGGCACTTAAGGCTTTTTGCTTCATATCGTCCATGGAGCTCCCTACCAGGTCGCTGATGCTATTTTCAATACTCATCATGGACTTGTCGGATTCTGCGGAGCTCCGGGGAGGCTGACTCGCAGAGCCTTGATCGCTGGAACCACCGGAGGAGTCCATTGGATTAGCTAGATGGATGAAACTGATTCTTCGGAAATCCTAGTTCGAAAAGAAACCAGCTTTATGGCGGTGGGAGATGAGGTGTTTTAATGGCAGCGGTGATCGATGACATCAACAGCCGATGACGTCTTGATCGTGGATTGGGCTTCCGCATCCATCACTACATCTGCAGAGTATATGTACATGTACTGCATATTGCAGAGGACGCTTACCTGTTGTCGATTTTCAGACACCTCGAGCATCGGTCCACGAGGAGACCTAAGCCGACGTATATATTTGCGTAGAGACCGGCTTCCATTAGCATGATGTTTCGGTGATTAACTCCACAAATGCTCGCTCGTATCCCAAGTCTTGGCGAGCTTTGTCTGGATCAAGCAGCTCGTGAAGAAAGCCTAATCTCTGCCGGCTCAAGCAATGCCCAAGCAGTCAGACTAGCCAGAGCTAGAGAGGGTTGGGTGATCGTCTCGGACATAACGGAGACCGAGTTGATATACTTCCGTCCGGTGGGCTATATAACCCACCAAGTCTCCCACGTAGACATTGACCCAACAACAACACTCCGCAAGTCAAGAACATGTCCTTCCCATACAAGCACATCCTCCTCATCGGCGCCACCTCAGGCATCGGCCTCGCAATGGCCGACCGATTCGTCGAAACCGGCGTGAAGGTGACCGCCGTCGGTCGCCGCCAGGACCGCCTCGACGCCTTCGTACAGAAGCACGGCTCTGCGGCCGCAGACGCCGTCGCCTTCGACATTAGCAAGGTCGATGAGATCCCGCAGTTCGTCGCGGATGTCACGACCAAGTCGCCCGATATCGACTGCGTCTTTCTCAACGCCGGTGTGCAGCGGATGACCGACCTGACCAGCCAGGACAAGTGGGACGAGAAGACCTTCGACGAGGTCATGCATGTGAACTTTACCTGCATCGTTGCGTTGACGCGCGCGTTTCTGCCGTTCCTGCAGGCGCAGAAAGGGCCGACGAGCTTTATCTTGTAAGTGCCTGTGCGACGGCGTGAGGCATGAAGTGAGATGTTAATATAAACCGCGCAGTACCGGGTCGAATCTGGCCATCATCCCCGCGGCGGTGGCGCCGGCGTATAGTGCGTCCAAGGCTGCGCTGAACGCTTTTGTCCTCTGTCTTCGGGAGCAGCTGCGAGAGTCCAAGCCCAAGATCATCGAGCTGTCTCCGCCTGCTGTGCAGAGTATGTATCCGGATACCGTCTGTCACTAGAGGTGATGTTTCATCTGGGATCCGCTTGCTGATGTTTATAGCTGAACTGCATGACTACTTGGGCGTGGAGGTCGGACGCAACCTCGGTATGCCGCTGGACCAGTTTGTCACGGAGGCCTTCCAGGGGCTCCAGTCCGGCCTGGACCAGGTGATTGTCGGTACCATCGGTCCGGCAGAGCCTTTCCATGACATTGTGAACAAGCGCCGGACGCTCTTTGAGAACCTGGCAAAGATGATGCGGCATTAGTGGATGAAGAGTAGAAGTCAATCCTCGGTAATAGGACATAACGCAAGACATTTTCATTCCCGTCAGTTTATTCAAAACAGACATCTATTATAAGGCCAATATAACAATCCGAGGCTATCATCCAGAAAGATAAAAGGGTATACTTCAGCAACAGGCATCAATCCACTAGTAATCCTCGGACCCATCGCTCAACAGCGCCCGATCAAGCTCGTCATCATCCAAATCGTCAAAATCCGCATCATCGACATCCATATCATCGTCGGAATCATCATTCGCCATCTCCTCATACAGCTCGGTAAACAGCTGCTTCATGGACTCCTCATGGCCATCCGACAGCGCCAGCCGATCCAACAACGCCTGCTTCGGCTTCCAATTCGCCGGCTCGGGATCGTCCGTATCGAACAGCGTCTCCGGCAGGGTAGTCGAGAAGAACGCCAGCACGATCGTCGCGACGCCGCGCACATACTCACTAGACAGGGAGATGCACGCCTCGTCGCGGTCCAGCCGCACCGCCAGCCCCGCGACGTCACGCGCCTTGAGGAAGCCCACAAAATCCGCGTCGGGGAGGTCGACGTCGTCGCAGGCGCACGCGCGGATCAGCGCGACCGTCTCATCCCAGTCGACCGTGTGGCGTTCGCAGAGTAGCGCGAGCAGGACGGCGGTAGGACACTCGTTGTGGCGGGGGGCGCCCTTCAGGACGGCGGCGAAGGCGTCGGTCTCGGCCTCGAGACGGCCGTAGAACGGCTTCCAGAAGGCCGTGTGCCACGGGTCGAGCGACTTGAGCGACGGGTGGTCGCGCTCCAGCTGGCGCTGGCGCTCCTCCTCCGGGAGGTACTTGTAGTAGCGCTCGTAGACCCACATGTTGTAGAGGTTGTCGAGCTCCTCGCCCATCTTGGTCTTGGTGGTGATGTCGAAGGAGAGGGTGAGCGGGGCGTTGGGGCTCATGGAGGACTCGTACGCGGACACTTCGGCGAGGGCGCTCTGGCGCGCCGAGGCGTCGGGGCTGTCGAAGAGGTCGATGAGCGCCTGGCAGGCATCGCGGTAGGAGAAGAAGGCTTCCTGTTCGGCGTCGGGGACGTCAAAGTGCGGGTGCGCCACGATGGCTGAGACGAAGTTGATGCGCTCTTTGATCTCTTTCTTGTTGGCTTGGGAGATCTCTTTGAATGGCTGCGGAGGAGCCAGATATCGCAGGGGGTCCATTGCGGTCGTTGGAATTGCAGGAATATGGAGTTGTCGCCGTCTAAATTTTCATGCAGCGATGGCGGGCAAAACAGAGCCTGTCCCGCGCGAAATCTGCGGCCTCCGATTATGCCCCACCACGGCGTACAGAGTCAACTATGATCGGCGCACGTTAATCAAGTTGGTTTTCGAGGGAATGAAAGAATATATAGACTGGGCATGACAGAATACAAAGACATAAGCGAGCAGGAGACAGAGAAAGGATTGAAGAAGAGACCCAAGGAAGACAGTATGGAATATAGATCCGAACCATCGGGAGAACAGGGTGTACCCGATCAGGAATAGCGCCATCACCCCTCCAAAGATTCCTCATACAACTTCCACTTCCATACTACTTCCCCTCCCCCTCTCCCTCTCCCTCCCTCAGTACACAACCACACAGAATGGCGCCCATCCCAATCACAATCGTCACGGGCTTCCTCGGCTCCGGCAAGACCACCCTCCTCCTCAACCTCATCCCGCAACTCCCGCCGACATACCGACTCGCGCTGCTCAAGAACGAATTCGGCGATGTAGCGATCGACTCGCAGCTCGCATCGACACAATCGATCTCCGGCGTGCGCGAGCTGCTCAACGGATGCATCTGCTGTAACCTGGTGGGCCAGCTGAGCGACGCGCTGAACCAGCTGCGCGACGAGGTGCAGCCGGACCGGATCGTCATCGAGACGAGCGGGAGCGCATTCCCCGCCACCCTGGCGATGGAGGTGAACCGGCTGGAGCGTGAGCAGCCGGGGACGTTTGCGCTGGACGGGGTGATCAGCGTGATCGATGTGGAGAACTGGGAGGGCTACGAGGATACGTCGTACACGGCCAAGCTGCAGGCCAAATACACCGACTTGATCATCTTCAACAAGTGGGAGAATGTGTCGGAGCGGCGGTTTGACGACTGTCTGGACCGGGTCGGCGATCTGGAGGTGCAGACGCCGTGGGTCAAGTCGGACAAGGGCCGCGTCGATAAGGACGTCCTGCTGGGGATAGACGGCGCGTTGTTCGCCAAGGTGGTTGATGGCCATCGGGAAGAGGAGGCGCTCGGACAACATCACCATGACCATGACCATGGCGATGGACACGCCCATCATCAGTCGGAGGTCGAGGTGCTCTCGGTCACGCTGAAGACGGCCCGCCCGGACCAGACCGTCAATGTATCTTCCCTGGAGCAGCTGCTCCAGTCGGCGTCGAAGGAGGAAGTCTACCGGATCAAGGGCATTCTGCGCTTCTCGACGCAGTCGCCGCCCGCTACGTCGTCGGATAACATGGACGATCGCACCGTGGCCACCGACGCGGCTACCAAACACTACATTCTTAACTGGGCCTTCGAGCGCTGGACCTGCACGCCCTCCGATGTCGTTGCGGAGTCGGCAGATCCGAAGATTGTGGCCCGTCTGACCTTCATCCTGGCGCGGTACGAGTCGGCAAAGTGGAAGAAGAAGCTCGAAGCCGGGGGACTGGTGGAGGTAGCGGAGTCGAGCGAGGGTGCGGAGCTGGTCGTTGAGCGACTGGTTTAGACAAAAGAGTTGTATGGTATGAAATGGAGCTGGCTCCTGTGATGTTGATGAAATGGTTGGATAGAAAGCGAGGTAGATCAGATAGATCTCATCATGGTAGACCCAGTCGTCATAGAGCATATCAAGAATACTTTTTCTAGAAACAGACGAAAGAATGATTAATTCAAACACAAACTACTCTATCGAATATATAGACAGGTATAGAATACCTGTATCCCCGACAAGAATCTTAACAAAAACAAATGCAACGCAAACCAAAATTAATACTCAAGAAGAGCGGATGCGCCCGCTTCGCTGGAGATGTAGATTACCTCGTGGTTATCCGAGAAACCATTGAACCGAGTGGCACTGCACCGGGTGTAGGCTCCCATCTCCTCGAAGAACAGCCAGTCCCCGACATCCAAAAGGCCAGGCAGCGTGATCCGCTGGGTGATGACATCGATGCCATCACAAGTGGGACCCCAGATGGAATAGGCGATGCCCGAAGTCGCAGCATTCGGGCCGTTCGCACAGGTGAGGATCTGAGCCACGGGGTGTTGGTGGTCGAAGATGATGTTCGAGAAGTTGCCGTACACCCCATCGTTCAGGTAGATCATGTACGCATCATTGTTGGGGTCCTCGGGATCCCGGACGTCGCGACGGGCGATGACGTTGGCCGCCAAGGTGAAGGCGCTGGCGACGTAGTAGCGGCCGGGCTCGGCGATGATGCGAACGTGGGGCGGGAAGTAGGTATCCAGAGCTTCACTCAGCACACCGGCGAACTTTTCGAAGGTCTCGCCAGTGAATCCGCCACCAACATCAAGGGTGTGCAGTTCATGACCGAGATCGGCGGCCTGGTCGAACACCAGACGGGCATCCTGCACCGCCTTGAGGAAGGCACTAGGATCTTCGGCGCCCGAGCCGACGTGGAAGCTGACGCCGACGACCTTCAGCTCCAGGTCACGGGCCAATTCCAGCAGCTGATGAGCCACGTCGAGCGATGCACCGAACTTCATGCTGAGACGACACAAGCTGGTGGAGTCGTCGGTCAGGATGCGCAGGTAGAGCTCGGCATCCGGGAAGCAAGCCTTGATCTTGTACAGCTCGTCGGCGTTGTCGAAGGTCATCTGCTTGACTCCCTTCTGGGCGGCATAGCGCAGGTAGGACTTGGTCTTGCAGGGCTGCGCGTAGATGATGCGGGCGGGATCGACGCCGGTGGCCAATGCCAGGTCGATCTCCGCCTTGGACGCGCAGTCGAAGCCGTTTCCGAGCTTGGCCATGAGACGCAGGATCTCGGGGTCGGGGTTGCACTTGACCGCTGAGATGTGTTAGTATGGGTGTGCCCGTGTTAAGGACAAGGGAAACACATACCGTAAAAGGGTCGGACGCGGCCCAAGTTCATCTTCCAGCGCATGTGCTGGCGGTAGACCTCGCCCATGTCCGCGACATAGAACGCATCTTCCTCACCGGGGCCGCATTGGTCGACATTGACCTCGGCGGCACGCTTCTTCAGAACATTCAGGACTAGGTCCTTGGCAGCCAACGTAGATTGCGAGAGATCATCCTCTCCATTTTTGCTGAGTTGACTATGATGGGATTTCCAATTCACGTCAGGTATAGTCATGTACGCTTCAGCAGGTACACACGCAGTCGGGGCCATAACCATGTGCGCTGCGACGAAGCACACGGAGATAGTCGAGAGAGAAAAGAGTTGATAGATAGAAGAGAGAAAAGAACAGTCGGTAGGACTGCGTGTTAGGGAGGACGAAAACTTTCGCAACCGAAGTTGACTGGACCAAGCCTCCTAGACCCTTCCTCCTTAAGAGGAAGAACCTTCAGAGAAGTCCTATGCGGCAGCTCAAAAGGTGAGGGAATAAGTGGCGCGGGCGTGAGCGAGGGATTAAATGGCGCACCGGACGAGGACACGGGAGACGAAACCAGGAGGAGGTGGAATGTTGTTAAGAGTGTTTCGAAGACGTCGAGTCGCGACAATTTGACGAAGAGAAAGAGACGAGGCTACGAGAGCCGTGGTGAGCTGGGAGCCTTTGGAACTGGGGGGATTCCAAAGGCCGGGGGAGGTGGAGCGAGGGAATTAAATGGGCAAACCGGGCGGTTTGAGTTTGCCTGAAAATCCGGACAGGACAGATCAGACTGATGAATCGGCGGTCAGCGAGAGGGAATTGGTGAGAGATTTATGTCGAGGCAGGGGGAGAAAGGGGGAGGGGGAGAGGGAAGTGCAATCAATGGTGGGTGGTTGCAGAGATTTTAGACGGATGGCTGTTGTCTTAGGGCATAGGGTGCACACTAGGCAGAAAGCCGCGGGATTGACGGGGGGGAAGGGAATGCAGGGGATTGGAGGGAGTCGGAACAGGTTATGATGACGGGGATGAGAGAGATAGGCGAAGAAATCACTCACCGAAAGACGCTGACAACGGGGTGGGAGAGGAGGAGGAGGAGAGGAAGAAGAAGCAGAAGCAGAAGAAGAAGATGGAGTCGGCGAAAAAAATAGACGGAGGTGGAGGGGAACCCGCGAAGTTACGGGATGATGTCGTCGGGGGGTTGTGACGGTAATTTTACTGTATTCTGACCTTTCAGGCGGCTCCGATTGGCCCGATAGCGGACGGAACCGTCTGATGTGGGTTTGCGGGAGTACCTTGATTCTCGCCCAGTTTGTTAGGCACCAGAGGTACTCCGTACTGCCTTGATTTTGCTGAGCTTCGCAGTATGATGGTGATGACTCAAAGTAGGGAACTACTGTACGTACCTACAGGAGTGACTAGTATACTATAGGTAATGATATGTTTCTATTCTTACCTAGGTACTCAGGCATATGATAAGGGTCTAATTCATATGTGGGTCGACCGTTGAAGCAAGATATTTTCCAGACGTCTAATGAGTGCTCCAAGTATGAGCCGATTTAAGGGTTCTTTTGTACTTCGTCGCATCATACAATGGAATGTTCTGTTTTGTGTCACGAGGCGATTATTAATCGGTGCACCAGATAAAGTTTGTACAACCCTAACTCAATTCCATCTGAC